TCTGGAGTCACACGTGGCGGAGAAAAAGGATCTCCGTAATGTGTGACAATCTCGACGTAGTGGAAGCACTAAACAAAGGCCGCTCTTCTTCGCCTAACATAATGTCTTTTCTCAGACGCATCACTTGGCTCTCTGTTTTAAATAATTTTATCATCACTGCACGCCACGTCCCCGGTCACCTTAATCAAATCGCTGACTGTCTTTCTCGCTTTAAATTTCAGGAGTTCCGGCGCCTCTGCCCCTCAGCCTGCACGGAGCCAAGCGCAGTTCCCACCATGGACCAACTAACCCTGGACTAGTCTCACCTTCCCTCTCACACCTCCTCTCCTCTGCTTCATCCCATATGAAAAAGGGCCTTTCCCCCTCTACTCTATCTACATACAGCTCCGCATGGAGAACCTATTCCCTCTTCTGCCACGCTCACAACATCCCTTCGTTACCTCCATCCGTATCTACTGTCATAGCTTTCATAGTTCACTGCTCAGACAATCTCCATCATAAAACAACTTACATTCGTACGCTGCTCTCTGGCATTCAGTTTCAGGCCCGCTGTCACAACCCCGCCTTCTCCTCTCTTTTCTCTGAACCCTCAATTAAACTCCTCTTCAAAGGCATCAACAAATGTGCTCCCCACTCTTCTGACCACCGGCTCCCCATCACGCTGCCCATCCTGGAACAGCTCTGCACCACACTGAACTCCGGCTCTTTTTCCAAGTACACGTCTGCTCTCCTTCGCTGCGCTTTCCTGCTCGCCTTTTATGGCTTTCTCCGCATAAGCGAGTTCACCACTGCTCACTCTACGTTCAATGCGGCCCTAGACATTGCTTTTTCCGATCTGGCCTATTACCCTGACCATTTCAACCTCCGTCTCAAACATTCAAAAATCAAAGGAGCCTGCAATATAGTAATAGCTCGCTCGGACACATCTCTCTGCCCCTACAAATCCATGATGCGTTACACTCGCCTCCGCTGCAAAAAAGGAGATCTTAACGGACCTCTATTTCTCACTCCAGACATTCTTCCCATGACAGCAACCTGGTTCAGAGCTCAACTAAGATCCCTACTGCTCCTCTGTAAATTGTCTCCCCAGCTCTACACAGCCCACTCCTTCAGGATAGGCGCTGCCACGCGCGCGGCCTCGCTGGGGCTCCCCCACACCTCTCTGCAACAGCTGGGGCGCTGGTCCTCTTCGGCCTTCTCCGCCTACATCAGGCCAGACGCGTCCGCCATCCTGGCTGCACAACGGCTACTGGCTCCCTCATAAGCTCCCAGCAAAGCAATACAAAGCAAAGTAAGTGAACCAATAAGATTCTGGTGGCGGCACGCACTTTTTCAAAGATAACTCTGTTGCAGCGTCCGGTTGATCGTGATGCGAGCGCTCACGTCCCGGCGCTCAAAGATAACTCTGCCGCAGCGTCTGGTTGATCGTGATGCGAGCGCTCACGTCCCAGCGCTCAAAGATAACTAGCTGCAGCGTCCGGTTGATCGTGATGCGAGCGCTCACGTCCCGGCGCTTAAAGATAACTTTGCTGCAGCGTCTGGTTGATCGTGATGCGAGCGCTCACGTCCCAGGCAGCGTCCGGTTGATCGTGATGCGAGCGCTCACGTCCCGGCGCTCAAAGACAACTCTGCTGCAGCGTCTGGTTGATCGTGATGCGAGCGCTCACGTCCCGGCGCTCAAAGACAACTCTGCTGCAGCGTCTGGTTGATCGTGATGCGAGCGCTCACGTCCCGGCGCGCAAAGATAACTCTGCCCGTTTTTGGGGATTATGCGCGCTCAACAGCATCTCTCCCGGGCCTGGGGCGCCAAACATGCTCAATCAATAAACTTCTAACTGCATTTTCCCTCTTGGGTCTTTCCAAAGTGAAATGGAGCTCTTCGCGAAAATTCACTGTGGTAGACCCGACCGCTGCTGCCAGATCTACAAGCCTGCTCATCCTCTACTCATTACACCAGCAAAACGCCCACATCTAATCCACCAATAACCACCAGGACAGCAAGTTAAAAGCCGGAGACGCCCACTTCCCGGCCTTCTGAAGTCTGCAAAGCCTCCGCCGCCCCACCTCCTCCTTCTCTCTTCGGAGCGTGTTCGCCTGCTGCCTCTACCGTCACCAGTGCTTAGGCCCCGGGGGGATTATGCGTGCGAGCAAGCGCCGCGCTCAACAGCATCTCTCCCGGGCCTGGGGCGCCAAACATGCTCAATCAATAAACTTCTAACTGCATTTTCCCTCTTGGGTCTTTCCAAAGTGAAATAGAATGAGGAGGGTTTGTCACTGTCACGGCAACGCGGTGTAAAATAAAATCTATATCTAATAGACTTTTTGGATTGGAATGTCACAATAGTATTTAGTGCAAAATTTCACACATTTTCACAAAACTAAGTTTCTTTACGCACAACCAATCCACATGTGCATGTTGTTTAACCGATGTGCATGTATAAGATAAATAAAGCACATCTTATCTTATCTCACAGAGGAGAAATTTACATGTCACATTTGGCATGGATAGAGACACTCAGATTGTGCAAAAGGAGGAAATGTGCAAACATGTTACATGCAGGATATATGTACAATAAAGTGACAATAATTATGTGCAACAAAAGTGACAAGTGTCAATTGGAAACAGTGTCAATAGTAGTGCAGGTTTTCACACAGTGATCATTTAAAGTGACTTATTGTACAGTCTGACAGTGGTGGGGATAAAGGCCCTGTGGTAGCGCTCCTTCCTACACTGAGGGTGCCTCAGTCTTCCACTGAAGGAGCTCCTCAGCTCCTCTACAGTCCTGTGCAGTGGGAGGTATTGTTCATGATGGAGGTGGCTTTGACTAGCACCCTCCTGTCCCTCACCTCCTCCACAGAGTCCAGGGAGCAGCCCAGAGTGGAGCTGGCCCTCCTGACCAGCTTGTTCAGTCTGTTTCTGTCCTGCTCTGTGCTTTGACCAATCAACCTGCACATGTTGATTGTTGAAATAACACAACATGGAACCATGAACATCTGGCCTCAAATTGCATTAAAAGTGACATTTGTGTCTTAATTCATTTGAACTTTTAAAGCAATTCACAGACTTTATCTCCACCATCTTGGTTTGCTTCGGCAAAAAATACGTACACTGACATGCTTGCAATACCCCCCTGGACCAGTAGGAGGTGGACCGGGAATAAGAATTAGCCAATGCTAATGTATAGCATCTTCTTACCTCTCAAAAACAGCTTTATAGGATCGTCCAAAAGTCGGCTCTTGGTCCATGCATGTGTGAGAATGCTGAGGGGAGTGAATTTTTTTGGACCAGTCTAAATTAGTCGCTGTGGAATTTTGAAGACACTCGTCAAATGAATGGGGCTCGTGCCGGCTGACGCAGGTGCAAATGCATTTTTACAAATTTTCTAGCCCCACTACTATTTTGAAACTGTCCTTAGAACAGTGGAGATCTGCGGGACTATACTTTACAGTCTATGAGCACAATCCTGCTCTGTTATTGCTGCGTAAGAGACAAGCTGTACATTGTTTCAGAAAAGTAATTGATAGATTTAAGTTTAGCCGGATTAAACAACTCTATGTTAAAATCTCCACAGATGAATGATGTTTTGTGGTTTACAGGAGTATAACTTTCTGTCTGGGAGTCATGTTGAGAGCTCCGTGATGCTAACAGTGATAACTGTGGAAATAACTATGAAAACCCAAAGAGGATGATTTGTAACATACTCTGTTGTAACAATGTGATATTTAATGTAGATAATGCATGTATTATTGCACATTTATTTGTGTATGGCCGTCGTTTGTGCATCACTTTGTAGTTTAAGTAATTTGTATTAGGCCTACATTTGATAACGTGCATTTACCGATGACAGGGGGACATCTGTAAACATGGAGCTGGGCACACAATATTACTAGTACTAACATTTTTAACTGTTACTGATCATGTCAAAGTTAATGGCGTAAATGTATTCAACTACAAGTATAAGTACTTTAATAAAAGCTACATATGAAACATTTTTCTCACTGATTCTGTGGTTTGATAAAAACAGACGCATACATCACTTTTAATGACACACAAAGATGCTTACACTTCAGACACAAAGAACTAAATCATAATTATTATTATTTTTCCCCAGGTTGTATTGAGCACACAGAAAAGACAGCTGTGTCAGAGGCAAACGTCCAGGCCGCTGCTGTTGCCGCTGCAAATATGTCTTCAGAACATTTAAGCCCACTGTGTTCTAACCATCCATGACTTGTAATTTATATCCATTCATTTTCTTCCCCTCAGTTCATTTCTGGGCCTGGGGGGTGGCTCTCAGCTGCCACCCAAACCACAGAGCACCAACCCCTCACTGATCCTCCTGCATGCGGTGAGTCTACAGGAGAATGGCTGCTCTGTCAGTGAGAGCATTTTTCAGCAGGGGCTTCAGGCAAAGTGGGGTTAGTATCTTGCCCAAAGACACAATGTCAGCAGACATCAGTGGGAGTTGATGGAGAAAGTCTCGAGATGGGATCTGCAAGAAACAGAGCTGGATGATGGAGCCGTGCCTCCCCTGTGTCTCTTCTCTAAGCGCAACTAAACTTGCTAAATTAAAGCTGGGGTACCTACATTTTCCCTTGCAAAAACAGTTCATGTTGGTTGTGCCCAAAAGTAAAATGTTGTGAACAAATCAAACCAATTTAATGGACTGACATTATGCCTCATTCTCATCCCTGTAACACACAACAATAGTTTAATAGTTTTGGTCTGTGGCCATTTCCCTCACTTTGAGTAGTGACATGTCCATTACTCTCTTGTAATGTAGACTATTCCACTTTATTTTAATTTTTGAATCTGCATACATCCTCTACAGTATGTGCCCTGCTCATACTCCTCTGTGGAAGACTTCAGCCTTCACTGTTTTTGTCTAATCAAATAAATAAAAGAGTTGAAGAATTGAGTACATGTTTCATTCGTTTTTTATTAACACACACAAACAGAGTAAGTGCAGTGCTCAGCGGGGTGCCTCTTCAGTGCTACTTCAGCCTCCGGGGGCGGCGGTGGTAGTGGTGGTGGTGGTGGCCGTGGTGGTGGTAGCAGTGGTGGTTGTGGCCAGTGCTGCTAGGAGCTGAAGGATCAGGTTTAACAGATTATTGGTGGTAGTGGTGGTGGTCTGCTGATTTGAGTCGGAGCCGTCGCTGGAGCGGGCTACACGTTTGTGAGCCGTCTCCCCCTGAAAAAAAAAACATGACATACTGTAATTAGCAAACAGGACAAGTTGTAGGACTCTCTTGGCTGACACGTCTCTGCAACATTGCGTGGCGTTTGGGGGCAGTGCCATCAAAATGGCGGAGGAGGGTGTGTTTCAATTGTCGCGGGATCACACTCCTCAGCCTCCCCGATAAGGTCTAGTCCAAGGTACTGGAGAGGACACCTTGAATAAGTATTTAATCTCAGATTTAGGTGGAACATTGGAAAAGGTGCCTTGCCCTCTCCAGGTGGGTGGAGTGGTCCTTCCTCAAGTGGAGGAAGGACCTCATTCAGTCCCCTTGCTCCCAGTGCTCTCCCAGTTAAATGCAAAATGTGGTTCTTACAGTGGAGGCCAGGCTCAGGCACAGCAGACATCCCATAATAAGCATCACCTTCAGCATGGTTACACACCTGCAACACAAATATTGTTCTCCATCGTTATCGTGAGCTTTGTATTGTGTATCGTATCGTGAGGTACCCTTAGGTTCCCACCCATAGTCTCTAAACAGTCAAGTCGATGAATCTGAACAGGTAGAACGAGCCCATGCGAGGCGATTTACAGTATGAAGCTTTGGGCCACTCTGTCTGAAAAGCTACTTTAAACTAATTGGGCAAAAAAAGATGCAATCTGAGGCTCCTGAAAATGATGCATGATACGTGTATGTGTGTTATTTCTGGATTTAATATTTTGGGTTTGTCTTAAAACAAGAGAGCATCCTACTGCAGCAGGACATCGGTATAATTCAGTAGTCTATTTTTAAGAAATCTATTGTAAAAGTCTTTTCACATCTAAAAACTATTTACAGAAACAAAGGTTTTTATTCAAAAGCTTCTATTTCAACAGCTAACAAAAAAAGATTTGATGAGACAATACCCTGTTTGGTTAAATATATAAGTTAAATATATTAGTCATTGTTGTTTTCCCATCATTAACATTTATTCATTAGCCCTGTGGCCCAAAGATGTCACCAGCCGTCACTGAACATCACCAACATTACCAAGAAACTCATCGTTCAAACTCAAAGATCATCAAACACATAACACGCTTGTACAAGGCGTACGCTGCAATAAATGAAAGATTTACCTCAAAATAAGAGTGATACTAAGCTGCAAAAATCTCCTGTGTGCGTTTTCCCACATCACCCGTTCTAACTTAGCCAGAGCCATCCGTACACTCTGGTCAATTATTATTCCCCTAAATGTACAAAATTAAATTGGTACAATGGTGTGGTAAGACCAGGCTGATTCTGACTAATAGGACAAAATGATCATGTTGCCGTAAATACTGGCAACATGGTAAATACAATAATGGCAACATGACGTAAATACTAGCATGTTTTATAAGTGGTAAAAGTTAGTTACATTTGTTGTCTGGTAGCCCTGTAACTATTTGGAAATAAAATGCATTGTGAAAAAAGAGGAAATTCAGCAAAAGCAGGAAACACATACCAGAAGTCTTCTTTGTGGCTGTGGAAAAGTGAGATTGTTGAAATCATTGGAAAAGCCGTGTCTCTTTTTATAGCAGTTCCCTGTTCCTGTCAGCCAATCAGGTGTGAGCTCTTGAACATGTGAAATAAATGTTGTAATTGGAAGATAATCTTTAAATCCCAATAGGATTTTTTTGGTTTATGTTTCAACAGTTTGTGAGTCACTGCGGTCAGATCTCTGATTGTGTCACTCCCCTTCAAAATACATGTATTTATTTAGATGGCGCAGTTGCAGTATTCTGATACTGTGCAGACAAGGCTTTGGCACACACAACAAAACCACACGAAGAGTCCACGTAGCCCTGTGTAAACAGTAAAAAAAACTTTAGGAACTTTTTCAGTAGATCATAATAATAATGATAATAATAATGATAATAATAATAATAATAATAATAATAATAATAAATAATAATCATTTAAGAAAGATTGTTTATTTCCTCTTTGTTCAAAATTGGACATCAAATTGTCCAAGTGACTTTCAAAATCCTCATTCTTAGGACATTTAGTTCAGACTTTTCTTTTTTTTTAAGGCAGCGAATGGTTAGAGTCTTCTCTGAGAAGAATGTTTTTAGCTGTAGGTTTTTTGTACAAATCTGGGTACAGCTTATTACCCTCTTCAAAAATCCTTAAGTCAAGAAAACTTAGACGGCATTGATCACAGTCAATAGAAATGGTCAAAAAAGGGGAACATGTACTTAAGTATGTCAAAAATGAGTCCAATCGAGGGTTGGTTTCTTTGAATATTGAAAATATCAAATCATCTAGGCATCTCTTCCACAAACACATGTTTTCTTTGATTTCATTGTTGATATAAATGTAATTTTACTCAAATAGACCCATGTACAAGTTATAGAATAATGGTGAAAAGTGGGGCTGCCCATCACTACTCCATGTTTCTGGATACAAAAGGCATCTTGAAAGATCCAGTAATTGTTTTTTAATATTAGCCGTACATTAATGGAGTTGATGTCATTTTTCGGGGGGTAATTGCCCAGCTCTAGTCTGTATACATTAGATCATTTCAGAAAGGCTCTTATCCTGTGGTTACTTCTCTTCAGACTGAAGCACAAACACTGTCACAACATGGTCCAAGGAAACATACTTTAAAGATTATTCATATCAATTTTTGCGTCAGTCGTCTCGAAGGGCGTCACATGAAGTGTCAACTCCCCAACAGTAGACTGGTCTGTAGGTCCAGCTGATATTCCGGCCGGAAAGACACACGGTTAGCTCTTACTCAACAGTCTCAGTCTTTCTCTGTTTTTAGTCTTAAGTCACCTCACACACAGATGCACCTTTGAACAAATCCCTTTATTGTGTCTGTACTTGTAAGTGGGTTTTCATTTTGGGCTTGCATTTGTGTGTCAAGTTCATTCAGATGATTAAAAATATCTCAGAATCAGAATTATTTTTATTGCCATGTAAGTGACAGGAAGAAACAGACTAGAAAATCGCTTTGGCTCTTGGTGCAAACAATCTAAAAGCAGAGAAAGAATAAGGGATAATAAAATATACAAAATAAAAAAGTAAAATTATTACAGTTATTACTATATAAAAGTGCACTCGGTGCACACAATTTACAGTATACATTAAGCAGTGCAGTAAGCTGATGGCAGTAAAGTGACTGTATAAAGGGTGGGGGGACAAGGTTTTGAAGTGTTCAATAGTCCAAAAGCAGAGAGGATGAAACTGTTCTTTTGGCGAGAGGTTCTGGTCTGAATGGAGGTTGGAACAGTGCAGGGTGAGAGGGGTCGGCTTTGATAGGACCAGCTCAGGCGTTGTAGAGGTCCTGCAGCGAAGGGACCTCACGGAGTAATGAAAAACAGCATAATTCCTTCTCAAAAAAACGTCTACATCACTTTCACTTCTCACTAGCCAAAATGCCTCTGCTCCCCGCTACCTGTTACGTACTGTGGTCGCATCCAATTCTTACGTCTCAAAGTAATTAGCTATCTGCTGCCACATATGGATATGGAAAAGTAATAATAATACATTTTCTAAACACCCAAGGACACTGTACAGAGCATAAAAAACATAAAAAACAGGATCAACAAAATAAAACAGTAAAGTACAATATGGAATGGTGGGTGTGTGTGTGTTAGGTGGGGCAAGTAATACGTGGTTACGGGTCAAAACAAGTCAGCACTTGCCAATGGCACATTATTATATGCATTTTTTCTTTAGACAAAGAAGGTGACATTCCCACGGCACACCAGACGATATTATGTGGCACACTAGTGTGCCGCTGCACAGTGGTTTAAAAACACTGCAATAGGGAATGGTCTATGGACAAAGTTTTTCTCGAGCTCGTCTGGCGTCTATTGACTTTGATTTAAAAAGGTAAACTCTTATATCTCAGAAATCATTTTTTTACAGCTATTTATGGTCCTTGTGTTAATATTTTTGATGTTGTTGTTGTAAATAACGAGAAATGAGCCGAAAGGATTGACCTATGAGATGCCTTCATTCGTGGGAGAACCTCCAGTTTGCCTTAGCAACCGTATTAGCAACATGTGAATAAAAGGAATAAAAGTCCTGGGTAAAACCAAACAGAAGCAGGAACAGGGACAAACATTGCCATTAGTCCAGCACCAGATTGGAATGAGCACAAGGAACATATCGACAGAGACGCAGATAAAACACATTAACAAGAGAACAGGAGAGGAAGTAAGAATAATTCAAAACCACAGAGAACTAATGTCAAAATAAAACCAGAATACCCAATAATCCACACCATGACACTATGATACAATTATTATATGCACTATTTTAGTCCAATAGTGCATGAATCAGTTCCCAGCTCTCAACTGTGTTTGACTGTGTCTCTTATTTGCCAACACGTATTTTGTAAGATAACATCTTGCCAATGAGATTACTGGTCCCTGAGATCACCCATATGATCCCAAATCCTGGTTGCTGCAGGACTATTTCCCATCTTAATCTGCACACTTCATCAAAGGTGTGACACATCCGCTTTCTTCACCTGCTGTTGCGCTGACACTGGATTTTAGGATTATCCTCTCGTCATAGTCTGAACTGTGGAGCTGCTATAAAAGAGGACCAGGAGTTCTCAAGGACAAGATCCTACTCTCTACATTCTGCTGTGACTCGACCGACTCAAAGGTATGCCTGAATGTGTTCAATTCTACTACCTTGTTCCTACAAAATAATATTAATTTTATTCTTGAGGTAGAATTCATACTTGGACTCTTGTGTAATGTTTAAAAAGTAACAGAACACAATGTAGTGATTTGATTGTGGAACATTTTATGTATGGAGTGCTCATCACCCTCATCACCCTCAAGGCACCATCCTGCGTCAAATATGGGGGGGAGTATCATGCTGTGGACTTGATAGAGAGATGGATGATGCCAAGAACAGGACAATTTGGAAGAAAAACTAGCTGGAGCTGTAGGTAAACTGCAGTTGCCTTGAGCTCAGTAACCTTTTGTGTCAGACTCACAGTTTTTGGCTTTAACTCATTCATGGTTTAGTGCTTTCTGGGACCCTGGTGTTCTTTGTTTTTTGATATTGTCTGCGTAAATCCAGTTTATCGAGCTAGCGTTTACCTTTTAATGTAAGACAATAATAGCCAGAACAAAAGCTTTGTCCATGAGCACTTCCCTATTGGGCTTCATTGAGATAGACAGTTAGCATGTCCCCATCGGCCCGGGGTGGTATTGCAAGCATGTCAGCACACGTAATTTTAAGCCGGTGTAGCAGGCAAGTTTAACATCCTGGGTATTTCCTGCGGAAACTTAGAGAATTTACCACTAACTCTAAGATTCTGCTGAACTTTTATCGCTGCACCATTGAGAGTTTACTTGTTGGTTCTGTGTCTGTGTGGTTCGGTAACATCACAGATAAAGAAAAGAGAGCTTTAAACAAGGTGCTCCGCTCTGCAAAGAGGACCGTGGGCTGTGAGCTTCCTGTTCTGGAGGTTCTTTATAAATCCAGACTTTTTAACAGTGCCCTGAGAATTATCAATGACTCTACTGGCCACCCAGGAAAAGCCTTGTTCCAGCTTCTTCCCTCTGGCAGAAGATACTGTTCTCTGAGATGCAGGACATCTCGTTATGCTAATCGTTTTTTTCCACGAGCTGTTATCAGTTTGAATAGAGCACTTTAATGTTTTTGCACTTGTATAGATCTGTTTTAGTTGGTCAACTTCACAGTGACATTTGTTTACTGTTTTTAAAATTTGTTTTATTTTTGTCTTTTAATGTTGTTTTATGTCTGTACTTGTCCTGTGCACACTGGGAACTTTTACTAATGTATTCCAATGTAGTGTTACTGCAAATGGCGAATAAAATGAATCTGAATCTGAATCTAAAGTAGCCTAGGCCAGATTATACCCCGGGTATAAAATGGCCTAGGCTAGTTTTTCCCCCCATAGGCCAGATTAACCCCCCCTTTCAATTTAGTTAATAACAATAAAATATAAGCAATATTTTATTTATTTCTTACTAAATACATTTAGTAAGGAAAAGATATCATTTATGAAATAAACTATTCTATATAAAACAATCTCCTAATACTCCCTTACTGTACTTTAAAGTACTACCAAACAGCAATATGCCCATTCTTTAGGGAATCCTTATATTGAATACAAGTATAGTTAAATACATAAACAATTTACAGAGAAAAAAGGACTGCACTCTATGCGTATATCACAGGTTTTTTATTCAAAAACAACAGTTGACGCATCAGCAGTCACACCAAGGAAGCCAGATGTAACTCTTCTGATCAAATGAGGAAACACATTGAGTCAAAGAAACTCTTCAAAACAAACACCGTTGATATGTGCAGTAAAGCAGCGGCTGCAGACTCCGAGACACTGACACGTTTGTCACGTGACCTGTTGTTTTGATACACGCTCCAATGCAGTGATTCAAAGCAATTTCCTTCAGAAAGAGCGACACAAGCTCCGGAGAATTGGTGTCATTTGCCCACAATTAATATCAACTCAAAAAGGGGCTTTCACACCACCGGCGTCATTTAATAATGTA